CAGCATGGGTGGATTTATTGAAGCCAGTAGTTCAAGACCAGCCTGGATAACACGGTGAAACCCCATTTCTACTAAAAATACAAAAATTAGCCAGGCATGATGCTGCCTGGGCATCTGAGCTGCTTGGGAGGCTGAGGCAGGAGAATCGCTAGACCCCAGGAAGTGGAGGTGGCAGTGAGCTGAGGTCATGCCACTGCACAACCCAGCCAGACTCTGAGTTCTATATTTCCAGTAGACATGTTTATAGTAAGAATTTGGAATTTATGGACATTTCTTCCAGATTTCCATGTACTCTGTGACATGAGAGAAGAACAGCAATTATGGATCCTCACCTAGGCTGTGGCAGAATTTTACAGCAGGGCATGCAGTTTTGAGGGATAAATGATTTCTAAATGATGTTTAAGGGTCTCTGCATTTATGTTTTACTTGTAATTAATAGAACTACATTTATTTCTTAGAGCCAATATTTCAGACTTTTAAAATGTTACTATGTCTCAAATGCCACACTGGCTGATTTTGAAAATATTCTCTCTAAATTTTCACAATTATCTTAGAAGTATATATTATCCCTATTTTAGAAATAAGGACCATGAAGCTTCCATATATTTTCCTCGTAACTACAGGCTAATATGTTTGACCCTCTTCATGACATAGGACCCACGCAATAAGCTATGGTTTCACTGTACTTGCTTGTGGGGTTTTCTATGTCATTTTCACGTTATATGTGATCTCCTAGCCTCGAGTCGGGTGACATGGATCCTTGTTACAAATCTTACTGGTTAGCTAAGAAATCTCAGCTTCCTTCAGAGTGGCTTGTCAACTCTTTTAAATAAGGTTACTAAAATATATATAGAAAATAAGGAAACCTGCTAACCAGTGCTGCTAATACAGTTACAAAGATACATTGAGCATGAAAATTCACTCGTGAATGTTCTGACAAGCAGAGCAAAGAGGGAAACACAAGAAGCTTCATCTTTTTGTAATCAGAAAAGTTAAAATGTCAGAAATTCCTTATACGACCTCTAAGATCCCTTCTTATTTCTGAGATTTTATAAAAACAGGTATAATAACACCTAAAATTCAGAATCTTGATAATATTGAGTAAAATCATATTTGTAAATGAATGTTACCTGCTTTTCTTCTTATATAACTCCAATAAAAGCTCATGGTCAAAATCTCAGGAGAGTCAGACTGTAGTTAGTTTGCTTAAAACCCCATACTCAGAACTTCGGTGGACAAACTAGTCTCTGTTTAAGTATCCCTGTGTTATCAGTAATTGTGTGAAAGGCTTTTATGACCTTCTTCATACAAAGTAGATGTTATTGTCCATGTTTCATAAATTAGGAAACTGAGCCCCTGAGAAATGATGTAATTTGACCAAGGCCACAGAGAAGTATTTTAGTCGGAATTTGAACCCCTATGTCTCTGTCACCAAGGTCTGTTTTTTCCAGTACACTGAATCATTTCTAAACTATTGAATAATTTAACAGTTTTGGAATTATTTCTAAAAATAGTTCCAGTTTATAAAGCGGTCTGCATGAAGGTCCCGCACACTGGGTTAGAATTCACGTACTGTGAAATCACCAGTGGAGTCGTGGCTCAGAAAGCTCCACATCACCCCTGACAACATCCAGAGAACTTTACATATCTATATTTTGTGTTTGTGCTTTGTTTTTTAAGAAGGAATTTCTTCATCAAGACTTGAGGACTTGGAGAGTGACAGAGAGTTAAGGTTGCCTGGGGACCATTAGTGACAGCTTTGCCAATACAGTTGGAATGTTCCTCAACTGTAAAGCTTATTTAATGAAAAGAGACCCAAGAAACCTTTCTACTAATGTGTAGTGCTCTCTTGTCAGTTTGAAATGAGCAAACTGTCAGCTTGCCGATTACCATGGACACAGTATATGCTCATTAAATCATGCACTGTGGGTTTCTTCAGGTTGTCAAACTGCTTAATTGAAAAAATGTATAGTGTCACTCTTATGGGAAAGAAGCAAGAATCAAAGGGCTGGAGAGCTTACTCCTAATATTTCAGAGTTTGCTTTTAACTGCAGCCAGAAATTGTTCTGTTTTACGGTTTTGATTAAAGGACTATTCCTTCTATATTTTTCTTGCTTTGTTTATAATTCAAACACTGTAATTATAATGGAGTTGCTTTTATAATAGAGCTACTAAATCTTTCTGCCAGCTGATGAAAACTAAAGGGAAGGGCTCATTTTCCTGTTCTGCAACTATAAGGCTAACCTGGGTGTGTTGAGGCTGAAACAAACTGGGAATCAAGAGTTCCAGATGGGTTTTAGCCTTGTTAAATCTCTGCTTTGGTGTTTGCATTTTGTAAGACGGTTAGGCCTTATCATCACCTCAGTGTGTGGGTTAATCCTTTTTGACAGAAGTGCCCTTAGGCTACTAGGGTTTCTCAATTTGCTTATATGGTAGCTTTAAAAAATACCAATGCCCATGCAGAATAAATCAGAATCCTTGGGGGTAAAGTGTTTTAAAAGCCCCAGGGAATTTTAGCATGAGACGGGATTGGGAACAGCTAGCCTAAACGGACTTGCGTTGTCCAGTAACTCAAGTCAAGACTAATCTTACCAGCTGTTATCAACCCTGCTCACATCCACTAATATTTCTAAAGGCTTATACACCCTTTAAGGTTCAGAAGGTTAAAAACTCTGATTTCTGGGCTCCATTTAGATCTATTCAATAAGATTCTTTGGGGGCATGACCCAGGAATCTCTGTTTTTAATAAGAGCTGTAGGTGATTCTTATACACTAAAGTTTGAGAATTTGCTAAAGAAGCAAGATGATCTTTATAAGTGGGACTCAGTGAAACTTCAGAGGAGAGTGTGCAAATCACTGTAAATAGAGGACAAGGTTTTTAAATATTTTTTTAACAGTAGGAATTTTGGTGCATTCATTTGGGTCTAACTGGAGTCATGCACTGTTATAATAGCATCAATTTTAGTTAGGCGGAAAAGATCCCCACCATCTAGTGCCATGTAAGACCTGGGAATACACACACATTCTATTGTCTCTTTAGTCTTTAGGTACCAGGGCCTAATGACTAGGGCCAATGTGTTTTTCAAGGACCTATGAAAATATTCAGCACTAAAAGAGAAAGAAAAATTACTTTGATTTCACTGTGTGGAGAAACTGTACAATCTAAACAATGTCATGTTTAATGATACATCAATAAAATGAGATTTTATGCTATTCTTATTAATTACTAAATGAAATAGTTATTAAAATGTCTACTCTTAGAGACGTTTTATGAGTTAGCTTTTCTCAGTTCTTAAGAATTCCTGAAACTACATAATGATTACTGGGAAATTTTAGGCAATTGTAAAAATTAAATTAACCAAAGTATACATAAGCAAATAGTTTTAAATGCAAAAGTATAAAGATATTTTTCTGAGGTTTCATGTATAAAAATTGTTTAGTGTATGTCAGATAAAATTTATAGAAGGCCATTGGTTTGGACTGAACTCTTGCACCAAGCTCAACAGACCAAAGCAAAATAGTTACTCACGCTGAAGTTTTGGCCACCCCGCCAAAACCAAGTTGTTCATCTGATCTTCCAAGAAATTGGGGTAAAGAACTAGTAGCCAAATCCTCAACTAGACCAGTTGTGTCCAGCATGAGAAGGATGTCCTTCTGCTTTAACCTTTACGAGGAAACTAACTAGAAAACAACCAGTTTGCTTTTTGTTTTTGTTTCCGGGTTCTTCATCCCTTTTCTATCCATAAAGGAAACCTCCTCTGCTCAGCTCATTGCAACTCTCATTCTTTTTTACACAATGAGGTTTTGTCTGATTCTAGAATCATGAATAAAAGCCAATTATGATCTTTAAGCTAAATTTGTTGCAATTTTGTCTTTTGACATGTAAATATATCTGATGTAATATGGGGTTAAGGCTCTGAAAGAAAATACACCTAAAGCCTAGGATGGTCATGTAGGCATTTCCACACTATACATCTCAAAATTGAAGGATATTTAATTGTCCTAGTCTTCATTCTCATAGACAGGGTTATAAAAATATATGCATAAGCAGCCTTCAAAAGATATCGTTGAAATTTAAAAAATTATTGCTCTCTTTTCCTCCTTTAAAAAAAGAAAACTAGAAAAGAAAAAAAAAATCAATATTTTAGCCACCTATCACTACCTTTGAAAGTACATCACATACATAAAAGTTCGGACTATTAATGAGCATCAGCTGAAAGCGACAAGGCAAATTGCATACTACACCTCCCGCTCAGAAAATTACCCCTCAGCAATTGCAGTAATAGTAGTGAAACAATAGGAGGACAAAGTAAGTGGATGCCACTGGAAATCTAGTGTCCCTGAGGTCAATTGATGGCCAGAGCTAGATATATCTTTTTACAAATCTTCATGGACTATTCACACTTTGGATTGGTCTGCCTATGAAGTCCCCGGTTTCAGTATTCTCCTGATCCATGGGTGGTGATTCCTGCTACTGAGGTCTTTATCATTGTCTTATTTAAGCTAGACCTCCCCTTTCTATCTTAGCCTCTTTCCTTTTTTTTTTTTTTTTTTTTGGTAAAATTTGCTGTAGTTGTTTCATTTGTATGTTTATCCTTCTTTTTGACCATCTCCTCTAGAATGTAAGCTCCTCAAAAGCGGAAACCATAGCTATACTTCTTTACCAAGTTAATCCTGGGGACAAACAGGGTGGTAACAATTAATCACTTTGCTTTTGCCAGCAACGATCAGTCAAGAATGACATGCTATTAGGAACAATACTACAAATGCTAAACTGGTCAGGAAATTATTTTATTTTTGAGACAGAGTATCGCTCTGTTGCCCAGGTGGGGTGCAGTGGCAAGGTCATGGTTCGCTGTAGCCCCTGTCTCCGGGGCTCAGGTGATCTTCTCATCTCGGCCTCGTAAGTAGTAAGGCCACAGGCACATGCCACCATAACCAGCAAATTTATTTATTTATTTATTTTGTGGAGACAGGTGTCCCTATGTTGCCCAGGCTAGTCTCAAACTCCTGGGTTTAAGCAATCCTCCTGCTTCAGCCTAGAAAATATTTTAGTACATTCCTTTTAAACGAACAGGATTCTATAACTCTAAGTTATTAATAAATTAGTGATGGAAAAGAAACTAGCCATGGTTCATGTAGACCTCTTTTACCTCTGCCAGCATTCAAAAGAGGGGGAAAAAGCCACAGAAATCAGCTTGCCTGTAAATTCTATAACTTCTAGATGAATAAAATAGTTAATTGTTCACTTGAAAATGACTACTTTACGCTTTTGGAGAGAGGCCTGAAAATTTCTTGGCAATACTTCAACTGATTAATAATTTAGAACAATGATTGACTGGAGAATGGAAGTGGAGCTAATAGCTTCTCATTTTCCTCTTTATTATTTCAGACAAATTGGTAAGTCATGGTGGAGGTGTGGGATGTTTCTGGGTCAGCTGGCTAGAAGCTTTAAATTAAAAATGAAGGATGATATTTAATCTTGATTTTCTAAGATGTTGGTCTCACCTCTGATGGTATGAGATACCTTTGTGATTGCATCTGATGCTTAATCCTTATATGCAGTCCTGGCAAAGTCTATGTGAACTACAGCAAACTTTTACTGTGACTCTGCTACATGTGCCATATCATGTTAAGCACTGGTTGGGATAAAACAATGGATTTGATGCAATTCTAACCTTACGCAGCTAAAAAGTCTGGCAAGAGATTCATATGCCTATAAATCATCTTCCTACCAGGTAAAAAGCGTTAAGTGTCTTAAGAGAAAGATACGAACAAATACCATGGGAGCCATTAGCTTATGGTATCGATGTGAGGAATCTGCCTAATAGGAAATTAGTGATTTAAAACAATGTGAAAAAGTCAAATCAGTACAAATGATGTGTGCTGATATCAGCAATTTGAATTATGAAGTGGCTAAGGAAGGAGTGCTGGCATGAGAAGCTGTTTCCGATTTTCAGGGCTACATAAAGCTGCAGTTCCATCTTCAAAAAGAAAACATTCAGATAAGTTGATAATAGAAGGACCAAAGTGAGCCTCCTCCTAGGGAGTACCAGGAGTTTAGCTGGGAATTTCCATTTGTTCTTGGGAGAGGCAATGGCTTTAACAGGAGACAGGGTTGTGGCTGCTGCCTGGGGTGCCGATGTTCTCCTGCCTCTAAGAGAGAATCAGCTGAGCCCTCAACTGAATCCCACAAATTCCAAAGAAAGCTTAATTTTTTGTCTAGATAAAACAGTTGTATGTTTGAGTGCCACATATGCTTCCACTGTCTGAATTTTTGCTAACAGAATGAAGATCTGAGTGCCAGGTCCTAAGGAGCAAAGGCTTGCTGTGGACCTCCTATGTTTAAGTTCCTCCTATGTACTTAAGTGATAGACAGAATATTCATGCATCTATATGTATATGTTATTGTGGCGGCCTAAATTACATTCCCCTGAATTCATATGTTGAAGCCTTAATCCCCAATGTGACTGTATTTGGAGACAGCCTTTAAAGGTAACTTTAACTACCTCTTTAAAGGTTAATTACGCTTAAATGAGGTCATAAGGGTGGGACCTAGTCCAATATGATTGGTGCTCTTATAAGAAGAGATACCAGGGAAGCAAGTATACAGAGAAAAGGCCATGTGACAAAATGAGCAAAACGGCAGCCATATGCAAACCAAGGAGAGAGGCTTCAGGAGAAACCAAATCGGCCAACACCACCGTCTTGGACTTTCAGCCTCTCTCTGTGAGAAATAAATTTCTGTTGTTTAAGCCACCCAATCCATGGTGTTTTGTTATGGCAGCCTGAACTGACTAAGATGGTAATTGACAAATTTCCCCGATAGATTTTATTTATGAGCCTCAGTGGGTGACAAGTTAAATAGAACTCTTAATTTGGGTCAAAGCAACTATGAAAGTCCTTAAGAAACGATTCCCCTGTCCTGCCTATTAAGTAATGCCCAGCATAATCATACTATAAAGCTACTCATTTATGCAGAGCAAGCCTTTCATCTGACCATCTACTTCTTTACCAAATACTCATTGAGTACCTACTATGTGCTAGTTACTCATGGATTATGCTCAAAAGGATCTGTCCATCTAGAAAAGGAAATATAACAGGCACATAAAATGGAGTCATTTGTTTGTAGAAATTGCCGTGGGCATGTCAAGAATGCTGGGATTCATGGCAGCTGGGATGGCAGAGAAGTTTCCTTGGAGGAGGTGCCATTGAAGGAGAGTTTTGGAGGATGGATGGGATTTAGTCACACAGGGCTGTGCAATGGAGGAAGGAGAGTTGATAGGAGAAAGAATGGTGAACAAAGGCTTAGGGATTGAATTTCTGGGAAGTGTACAAGGAAGCAAGAATTTTGACTAAAATGCAGAATATGCAAAGGGAATTTTTTTCTTTATAAGGCTGAGCTATCTCAGACTCAAAGGGCTTCTTTCATAAAAGAGTGATGATATGTCAGGCATTGTCCTATGTACATTATTACATTGACTCATTCATACCCATAGTAAGGTAGGTGCTAATATTCTCCCCACTTTATAGAGGAAGAAACTGAGGCATAGATGGGTTAAAATACTTGCCAATTGCTAATGAATTGTGGAGCTGGGATTTGAACCGAGGCATCCTGGCTCCGGAGCCCTTGCTTGCCTGAGAGCATCTGAACCCAAGTATAAGGAGAAGTACTGGAGGGTTGATAGATTTGCAAATGGTGCAAGATGCAGAGTTTCAAGACAGTAGGCAATTTTGTGTATTTCCTCGAGCAAAGAGGAAAGCAGAGCCCCTGCCTCCTATAACCATGAGGGGGGATTGCAGTGCCCTTGATCCCTTTTCAGCAAGTTAGCCATGTTTGCAGCCCTCCGTGGAGATAAATTGGTGGTGCAAGGAAACAAAAGTGTTTTTCAGGCGCTCTGCTGCCATGGTTAGCCTAGGACAGGGTTATGAAAGGAGCTTTTCTGCCTCCGCTGCCTTCCGGGGTTACATTCCTTGTGAATCTACTGCCTCAAAATGGAGCTTGTTAGTTGCGTGTCATCCGAGGGTGGCAATTAGTTGCATGTGTTTGGTTGGGTGCCAGCCCCTGGGGCGCCAGACCTCAGTGCGGGAGCCACTGTTTGTCATGAATTAGTCTTTAAATAAAAGCAAGTTTTTAAAATGGAGCATGCTAATTTGGGTTTTGCTAACCCCTTCTGAAGAAGGCTTGGCCTGTTCGGTGCCAGCTGGCTGAGTTGGCATTCAGCGAGAAACTGGGTCCTTACCAAAAATCGCATTGCTCCCCCCTCCCTCTTTGAGAGCAAAATGGCAGCAAGGAGCTAGTTGGCATGGCACTGCAAAACAAGGTGACACCAGGGGCAGGGACAGTGTAGGAATCGAGATGATTAAAGGGAATTGAAGTGCCGTGATATCTCTGCTGCTCCCCACCTTAGAAAGGAAAAGCTGCCCCTCTTTCTCCCCACTCACGCCACCCTCGGGCACCCATTCAGTAACTTTCCACATAAAAGGCTTTCTCATCCAATTGCTTATACACTGCACCTTTTATACTCTTCCAAGTTGTCCTTAAGGGATTATCACTGCAGCTTTTAACTTCCCCTAGAAAGAGCTGAATGAACGTGAATGGGGCGGAAGAGTCTTCACTGAGAAAGTGTCCCCCACCCCAAAACGCTCACAAAACCTCTAATCACGATGGAAGAATGCCATCCTGTTTTTGGCGGTGGCTGGCTACCAATGCGCTAATGCACAATGACTGTCCACATAGGTGGTAATCACAAGGAATCATGTCGCACACACAACTCGTGGTCACAGGTCATGCGGAGCATACACCAGACCCTGGTAGCTTTAACGTGGTGCTTTTTCCCATTAGCAAAGAGCAGCCCCAAGGACCACAGTTGTGATTCTGGAAACTCAGCCCTTTGCCCAGTAAGTGCTAACCGGAAGACCTGTTTTCTTAAACTTTCTAGGTGGATAATCTGATCACCAGAAATGGCAAGAGTGATGCCACCAAGAGTTGGAAACAGAAACTCTCCCATTTATTTATTTATTTCGGTTTTGTTTGGCAAACATCCCAATGTCTCCAAATACGATTGCTCGGTATTGGGAGAGCAGCCTTGTACATAGGCAAGACAGAAGAGGAATTTTAATAAGCTTTACATTTGTTCTGAAGATTCAGGAAAGATGGAAGCTTTTTCTCATACCAACGTAGCTATGCTGTAGATTGCTGGGAAATAAGAGTTGTCCTGGTTACTAATGTAGTGTACATTAAATTTCCTGGAGTGTTTTTTTTTTAAACCAGTTTATTTGATGCCAGCACCTCTCTTCTTCTGAAGGCATCATATTAAGTTTACTAATAAATGACACCCAGTTCCTAAGAGACTTGGCCTAAAAGCTTTCCTGACAGGGCAGGAATTTGCTTTTTTCTTTGCTTTCCTTAAAAAAACAAAAAACAAACAAAAAAACAAATATTGAGGGAAAATTGAAGATGAAGGACATTTTGAAAACTTGAATACTGTACATAGTTTTAAGGAGGATTTCATTTTTCCAAAACAACACATTTTGCAGTTTCTTTAAATACTCATTTAATATTTTGGGTCTTGCCAGGACAACGTGTTGCTTTTACGAATAAGAGCCGATAATGAGCCCGTGGAGCCTGTAATTTATGATATATCCGACAGCATTGTGGTGGATCTGATAGGGGATGCATGTGATTATGTCTGAAAGCTGAAAATAAACTAGCTGGTATTTGTTCTGAAAACGTTCTGAGAACACCCTCCTGTTAATGGCCCATGGCTTGATCTAGCATCTGGTAAACTAATATATTGTCATTTTTACCATGAAAGTCAGCATAAATCATTAATGATTCCACAGCCATTTGAGTTCTTCTCTTGTCTAGAATATGCCAATTACCATGAAATTATTCCTATTAGCGACATGATTGAATGATAGTAACGTGCCTGTAACTTGTTGGCAGAAATTCTCTCATAATGACAGTAATGAACTGTGCATTTGAGTCCTTGCTGGTCTCTGTTAAACAGGAAGGTTGGATATTATATGTTTCTAACCGCTTACAAATGATACTTCTTAATGATTATGTGAATTGGAGGAAATGTACTGTTTTGCAGATTTGTGTCAATGTAGGAATTTATCATTTTTTATTTCATTTGTTGGGGGACAGAATCACCGTTTGCCATTAAAAATGTTGTTCAGGGACTACTTTGCGCTCTATACAGATTATGATCATCACCAGTATGCAGAGCCTACCGTCTCAGGCTCTCATGAGACACAACGTTGGAATTTTTAAATGAAACATTCCACACATAATCATCATCAAAGAACGAAATAACATCATCAGTGCCAGGCACCCTGAGAAAAACAGAGAGAGCCCAATACTGCCATAAGATTAATAAGTTAATTTTCATTTCTCTTTTGCTTAACCTTGGTCTGTAAGGTCACATGACCTGCGTAACTGAAGATGTGTATCAGGCAGACAGCCCAAGACACCTAAGAGGAGCCAATGAGAAGGCCAAGTAGCCAATTAGAAGACCAGCAGCTGATGAGAAGGCCAGGTGGCCAATGAGAAGGCCAGCAGCCAATGAGAAGGCCAGCTAGCCAATGAGAAGGCCAGCAGCCACTGAGAAGGCCAGCTAGCCAATGAGAAGGCCAGCAGCCAATGAGAAGGCCAGCTAGCCACTGAGAAGGCCAGCTAGCCACTGAGAAGGCCAGGAGCCAATGAGAAGGCCAGTTGTCCCCCCTAGTAGGGCTTCTGTCATGCATAGCAGTAGGACAGAGTAGTTAATTCTCCAAAGATCTAGGAAAAGTTAGTTAATGGATTGGACGCTTCCTGTGACCCATCTCACATCCTCTTGTCTCACTTTCTCTATTAGAGCCATCACTGTAGAAACCAAGTTAGGGCAAGTGTGACCTAAAGCCTCTTTTCTATGTGGCACTGGGCATCCCTGTTTTCAACTAGGGCTTTTCTGCCGCCCTGGGAGTAAGACTGGCAACTGGAAGTACAAGAGAGTTATTAACCCACGGAGTAACACCTGACTGGTGGGGACTGGGAGTTGGTGACTAGTCTCTTCCATGCCTTGTTCAGACATGTCTGAAGCACATTATACATATACATTAGAAGCACGTAAGTTTTCTTAGAAGAGTCCAGCAGGTTGAGCCCTAGGTGCCCATAGTTGTTATGGACTTGAGAATTTATACTTAACATTGTATTTCCTCTTGTAGTGGATGCTGTTGGTCTCCTACCAAGACCACCATTAGTGGGTCAGCACACCCATGCCCCAGCTGCTTAGAGTGTTGGATACTAAGGTCTCACAGCTGAACCCATCTCAGGAGAATTAACCCTCTATTGAGGGAAACTAACCTCCCCAGGAATACGTCAAAGGATCTCCTATGCCTGGTCAAGGGCAGTCCACAGCCAGGGACTAACTGAAGCTGTCAAGGGGAATAACTCTGTAGTGCTGTTCATTTTTCATACTCCTGTCCATACTCCTGGGATTGGGCCATGGTTGGACTCCAGCTGAAGCCACATCCTTTTTTGGCTTCTTCCCTGTCCCATCCTTCTCCCTCATTTCTCCATAGCTTTCTCCTGAGGGCACTGTTTCAATTTCTTGTACAAACATATCCATTTCAGGGTGTACTTCTAGGGAATCTGATTTAAGATACCATTTTTCCCAAGACTCTTCACTTTCCCTACTTTTCCAATGCTATTGTGTAGGATTCTTTTCCCGCAATAAACTACCCAGTTGTAAGCCTTTGTTTAGGGTCTGCTTTCTGGAGCGGGATGTAAGAGTCAGATGGGGAACACAGGCCAAGTCTGTCAATGATTTCAATATGTTTTGGGGTTCCACTCCATGCTGCTGGCTGAATTAAGTGCACATGGCCTCTACCACATACACTATGGTGGGAACTTAGATTTTGAAAGAATTAGTCACCATAAGATGATACTAAAGTGAATGATTCAGATAATAAATGTAGAAATTGAAAGACCTATTATTTGGGCTGAAAAGGGATACCAAAGACTTGAGGAGAGAATTATGTTTGAGTTAGTGAAAGAAATAAATATTTGAGAAGGCAGAGAGAATTGGAGGAAGGAAATTCAGCTTGGAAAGACAGCATGAATAAAGGATCTGAGTGAGTTTGAAAATCATTAGTTTGGGAGACCCTGATAGTGCTATCCTTCTGGGAAAAGGCTTTGTGCTGGAATGGTTTGACAGGTCCGGAATGTGCCGATCTACTTCATTTCACATTTATCTGTTCAACAAATGAATTAATATTCATTTATTTTTTAAAAAAACTATCCTTTGAATATCTATGATTTCCAGGCATTGTGGGCACTGGAAGTGATAAACAAAATACAAATTATCCTGGCTGTCAAAGAGCTTACAGAATAGGAAATATACAAGTAAACAGATAAATATATAGAATTACAGGTTTTCTTCCTAGGGCTCTCAAGGAAATTGAACAGGGTGCAGTGACAGAAAATAACAAGAGTCATTTATATTAGACTGAATGGACCTATAAGTCCTTTTGGAGGTGATAATGTTTAAGTAGAGATGTAAAAATGAAAAGAAGTAGCCCCGAAAAGGGAGTAGGGAAAGGAGGAACACTGTAGCCAGATGACTGCATGTGCAAAGGTCCTGAGGCAAGAAATGCCTCAGTGGGTTAGAAGTACAATAAAAGGCCAGATAATACCGGCCAAGGAAGAAAGCACACAAGATAAAGCTGGAAGATAGGCAAGAGCAAGATTTTAGAGAGCATCATATGTTATAAAAAAAGACTTTGGGCCCAGCCAAAAATCTTTTTTTATAACATATGATGCTCTCTAAAATTCAGGTGGCGCATGCCTGTAATCCCAGCCCTTTGGGAGGTGGGTGGATCACCTGAGGTCAGGAGTTCCAGACCAGCCTGACCAACATGATGAAATCCTGTCTCTACTAAAAATAAAAAATTAGCCAGGCATGGTGGTACATGCCTATAATTCCAGCTACTCAGGAGGCTGAGGCAGGAGAATTGCTTGAACCCGGGAGGTGGAGATTGCAGTGAGCCGAGATTGTGCCATTGCACTCCAGCCCGAGTGACAAGAGCAAAATTCCATCTCAAAAAATAATAATGACAATAAAGCAAAAGACTTTGGATTTTATCTATTATGTAATGAAAAACAATTGAAGAACTCTTAGGACAGAGGTGATAGTTTATATTAATTTTTTGTGTGGAAAATAGGTTGGGGAGGGTAAGAATAGATGTAGAGAGAGCAATAAAAATGCTATTCTAGGCTGGGTGCAGTGGCTTATGCCTGTAATCTCAGTACTTTGGGAGGCCAAGGCTGGCAGATCACTTGAGGTCAGGAGTTCAAGACCAGCCTGGCCAATATGGTGAAACCCTATGTCTACTAAAAACACAAATACTCGCAAGGCATGGTGGTGCCCGCCTGTAATTCCAGCTACTTGGGTGACTGATGCATGAGAATCACTTGAACCTGTGAAGTAGAGGTTGCAGTGAGGTGAGATCATGCCACTGCACTCTAGCAAGAGCGACAGAGCAAGACCCAGTCTAAAAAAAAATAAAAAAAAAAACTATTGCAGAAGTGCATGTGAGAATAAATGATTAACTGGTCTAAATTAGAGTCAACGGATGTGCACTAGAATTTACTAGACTGTAATTCAAGACAGCAAGGGCTTTGTCTCTTGATCACTGTTGTACTGAAGCCTACATCTAAGGTTTGTGGGGCCCAGGGCAAAAAGGAGGCCATATACCATCTGTCTAAAATTAACAAATCCAGCTAATACGCCATTAAGGGAATGTTTCTTATCCTCTGCCATGACAATATAACTTTTTTAAGGACAAAATCTAAAGGTATACGTGAAGCCCTAGTTTTTATATGATTGAAAATTGGCCAAATATCAAAGACAACA